TGTAAGAAACGGGATTCGCCTCTGCGCGTCTACGCTGTCTTCTTGCGTCCTCTTCCGTTCTTCTTCTAGTCGGCCTCTTCTTCTTCCTCGCACTGCTACCGGCGCCTCTGATTACGCGCACGTTGCGAAAATGTCCCATGCACTTCACCGATACTCGTGCAAGTTCCTCGCTCGTTGCTACTTCTACTTTGCTAAACCAGAACTTTCAATGCTTCTCTCACAACGGGTAACTTTTACTTCGTGTCGTTAATTGAAGGACACTTTACTGAATCTGCACTATCTCGCGGACGACTGACTAGAACGTCTGTTCGACGCCGAATCTCCTACCTAGCAGTCGTGCAGCGGCAAAACAATAATCTAAACTAATGTTAACGAAAGTGTTGTCTCGGCGAGCGGTGATCAAAATGCTACTGGCTCGGCGATCGGGAATCCAAAGAGAAGATCTGCTTACTCGACGAGTGGTGGCAAGAAAGAGAGCTTCCCGCTTGCGGTTTCGCGTATTTATCGTCCGACGCCTGGGGAAATTCTCAGTGGTGGGGCTGTTTCCCTCTCTCAACCCTTCACAAGGAAAACGTTGCTGGCTAGTTCGCTTTCGTTTAGTACGGGCAACGGCTACCAGGCCGCGCGTTTATGAACCTTTGCCTTCTGCGCCTGCTATCCTCGCTGCCTCCGTAGTGTTCACACCATACGAGACGGTGGTGTTATGGGGTTGCAGAATCCCATAACGCCACTATATATAATAACTATATAGTATATATATATATATATATATATATATATATATATATATATATATTAATATTCTAATATATTTTTATTGAGTTGTATAACATGTATAGTTATAAAATTGCGTAAATATGCCTTACTGGCTCAATATTTGTTTCATTAGAACACAAGAAGTATAAGGAATGAAAATCACACTAAATCATACAGTAATTTGAAGTCATAAAGTAGGCGTATTTTCTTAAGACAATATATTTAATATAGATAAATCATAATGACAAATACATTGTAAAAAATCCACACAATATAAAATTTAAATATTTATGAAGAACTACAGTAAGCTTTCTCAGAGCTACATACTTTACAGAGAAACAGTCTTTCCTGCTATTCTTTACACAGGGCACTAGAGTAAATATTGCAGCGATGCTGCGTATATCTATTTTTCCTCTTAGGGCAATAAGCGCATTTTATTTTCTCTGTTTCAAGATCCCTCTTCATTATTTGGTGGACCTTGAACCCCAGTAACACTTCTAATTTTGTCCTTCAAACGAAGTGACAAATTACTTATTGACGTAGGCTTCAACATGTGAAGTCTCGCAAGAGTTATGCTGGGCTGCGTCAGGAATTTTCTGTGAGACATCATGTCATTGGTATTTGTTTTATAAATGATCTGATCATTGATTGCTCCAATGTTCATCAAAACGGAAAATATTGTGAGGGGCCAACGTCTGCTTATTCTTGAAACAGAATATTCTGATTTGAGGGGATAGGCAACGTCTACACCTTCTTTGGTAAGGTTGTAAAACGTTATTACCTCGGTTCATTTTGGTCTCCAGATTTGGGATCAATCACATCATCATCATCATCATGTATGGTAAAAGTCATCAATACATTTCTGTTCTTCTTAGGAACATACGAGCAAAGAAGACTCCGATTTCCCGGTTTCTGTCTAAAAACAAACATACTACTGAGCACTGGCCTACCTTTTACTGATGCAAGTTCTGGAGGAATATCTCGTTTATTCTTTCGAAGATTTCCTACAACTGTCAATCGATTATTCATATGTAAAGTATTAGTAGGCAATAACGAAGAGAAATAATTGTCCAGTGTCACATTTCTTCCTTGTCAATTGGACGTATCAACCTCAAAACTACACTGCTGACATCACTGGAAATCTGATATGGTTGTTCAGGTTGTTTTTCCAAAATTATATCCATATTAAATGTGTAAAATGTTCTTGCATCACAAAGTATATCTTTATCTTATACTTAGAAGGCTTTTTCGGGATGTACTGCCTGAATTTGCATCGTCCTCTAAATGATTCTAGCATTTCGTCTAGTGGTGTAAGCACTTGGACTGTAACTACTTCTGCAAGCATTTACAATCCGGTCAAATATTTCTCTTATTGGGGCCAAATTGTTTTCCTTCTTTCTTTGCGTCCTTGTTAGTTTATCATCGAATCTAAATGTTTGTAAAAGAGTGTAAAATCTTCGTTTACTTATTGTTGCAATAAAAAAGTCAGGTGCAGTTCCGTCAGTGGCCCACAGTTCATCTGCATTTAGGTGTTGCGCCTTTTTTACCCTAGCAAGATACAGAACTCCGATAAACGCCGACATTTCTTCGGTCTGTTCGCGGACAGTCCCGTGAATTTCGTGAATATGAAGATCCCATTCGATCTAATTCTACGTTAGTGTACGCAACAACATTAGAGATAGTAGTATCAGTAAAGAGCACTTTCCAACAATCTAAAACAGTTTTCAAGTTTCTGCACTCAGATTTCACACCTAGCAGCTGCGTTACAATATTCTGTCATGTCTTCTTTGTTGAAGGCATTCTATGTTTCCATCAGAATGTTGATCCCTCTTTACCCACTTAAGTTTCGCGTTGAGTTGCAGCGTTGTGCGTTGAATTGCAGCTCCCAAAACGCACTCTGAATCGCTGTCATCTGACTGCTATGTTTCGATATAATGATCGTCCTGCTCGGGTTAACCGTCTGTGTCTGAAATCATATCAATTAAACATTTTGATTTTCCTCCTCTAACCACATTAATATTTTATCTTCCGCCATATGCTTTTCTGAAAAAAACAAAATGTAACTAACGGAAACTACCGCGAAAGTGTACAGAAAGATATATTTGCCAAATCTATGAATCATACCTTTGATATTAGGTACACTAAAAAAAGGAACACAATAAAGATGAGTTCTAAAACTTTTCTGATCTTCACGTAACCACGAAACGAGCAAGACAGAATGAAACACCGGAAGAAATTCTAAACACTCGCTTCGATAAAGATGTCGCAATATAACACAGTTGCTCGCGTGTGAGAAATTATCTCACTGGATGCTCTGCGTTAATCAGCGCCATGACAGATCGATTCCTTTCGCAGAAATAATAAGAACGATGATCGGATGGAGAGCTGAGTCAAGGGAGAATATATTGCTAAGCGTTAACTCTCTGTGTTGAAAATGGGTTTGCACTGTTCTTTAAAATAAAATCTCCGGCTTTATTTATCGTGAAAGCGGCCGAACTGACATAGGTGCCGAGAAACGTCACAGGAACATTGGATTCCATAGTTCTCACATGGCTGATATTATAATATTATAACAGCGAAGACATCGAACACATAACTCAGGAATTCTGTGGTGAATATTTCTAGGGGAACTATGCGGTACAAACCACGTACAATAGATTGAGCATGATTTCACAATTTTCTACAGTTGCTGTGACGAAAATGGAGGTAAGAGTTCCGGTTCACCTCCCGCCGCCTCATTAAAATGGCTGTTTCTTCAGTAGTTTTCTGGTAAAAACAAAAATTCTGGTGGAACAATCCGGTACAAACCAGGTACAATCGGTTGAGTGTGATATTATTATTTTCTACGGTTGCTGTGATGCGAATGGTGGTACATTTCCGGTTCACCTCCCGCCGCCTCATTAAAAGGCTGTATACTCATTAGTTTTTTGGTACAAACGAAAATTCTGATGGAACTATCCGGAACAAACGATATATAATGTTTTCAATTTTTTTACAATGGTGGTGGTACCAGTGTGAAGTTGGCACCACCACAATAAAAAGTGCTGTATCTTGTACGTTGTTTTGGTACAAACGAATGTTGTGTAAAATATTCTTTCATAAAGCTGACAGCACACAAAGACTTTATGAACTGTCAAAGTAATAGTATATTTAATTCTGTAAGGAAATTGAATTATTTAGGCGTAATGTTTGATCAAAATCTGAGCTGGAGAGGACAGATATTGGATTGAAGCAAAAAATAAGAACATGTGTGGGGAAACTAATGAAAATTAAAAATTTTCAAACTAGTTTACTTCTCATTAATAGAGTCTCTAACCAGATATGGAATTGGAGTTTGGGGACTGGCATCAAAAACTCGTGTAGATATAATACAGAATTTACAAAACAAATGCATTAAAATCCTCAAAGAAAAAATGAACATAATTCACTAACCCTGGAAGATAGTACAGCGGTGCATGGAATCATGACTGCTGAAAACTACATGAGTTTCAAATTTTACGAAGACATTTTTTCAATGAAGAATATAGAAATATCCATGGGCATAACTATAAAACTATAAAGAAACACAATTTCATACTACTGGATACTTTTAATAAATTTAGAGAGATAATGCTTAATACAGCCATTCCTAAACTGCTCAACTCACACCTGAATGATATTCTAGAAGTTATGTCCAAAAGGATACTGACAGGAAAATTAAAAGAATGAGATACAAGACATTAAATAAAATTCCATTTTATTTCATAATGAACTTTCTGTAAATTATAAAATGTTTGATTTTAATATGTTGATTAAGTTGATTTTTTATTGATTTAATTGTTGTTCATTCAGTAGATGCTTCTTGGCTGACACTAAAAAACCATTGCCAATAATGTTTTATGATGAGCTTATGTTGATTATGACTCTAATAATATAAAGCCATTTGTTTATTATGTAGATTTCAACATCTTGTCATTATGCCAATTATTTATTCAATACATTGAAGTTTTTTATTTGTTATTTATATATCGATTATTGAGAGATCTGTCAAGGATTTATTCTTATTCATATTATAGTGGATTTGAGTTATTGTGTCCACTATTTATTTTACACATTTTACAATTATTATTATGTTGTTTTTGATAATTGCATGTTGATAATGCCCTCTGCTTATTGCATGTTAATTTGATCATTTAATTATGACTGATACATGTGAGTTATAGTGTACTTTTGTTACTTATATTGTTTTATTACTGTTATTTAGTCATATTATTTACTTTAATGTATACATACATTTTTCCTCCTTTCACTTGTTACTTAACCATCTGTCAGAAAGTTGATAACTGTTTTTTTTTCTCAGCCATTCACCAATATCTATGATGAAAGTGAATTTGTTATACATGAATAGTTCAATTTCTTTTTTTTCCTATTATTGACATATCTGATAGATTTACCAAGGATTCATTTTCATTATTCCTGATTACTATAGTGTTAAATAAAATAATAAGTCTTAATTTCATATTTAGATGAATTAAAATCTAAATTTGAGTGGCTATGATTCACTCAAGACACCAGCTAACAGTGTCAGATGATTGAGGGAGCGATCAATGTCAGATGTAGAGATGAATTGTTTACTCCTTAATAAAGAAATTCTTGTAATCATTCATCATGCAGAGCAGTTTTTAATGACAATGTCATTCCAACTTTCCATCACTACCGTAAGGGTTTCAGAAATATCTGGTTTTATTTTGATTATTCAGGAATACATTTTTTTACCAAAAACTAAACATATGAAGATAAGTCAATAAATATTTGCACTTTCATTCTAATTGTCTGTACACCGACTGTAGAGCATTGTGCATTAGCCAGCAGTTAATATGACTTTGATCACTTTGCTTATGGCACGTTTCAGCTGTATCACTTGAGCTGAGGACATGTAAACACAGATGGGCCAAAAGAGAGACATGTTGTAATCCAGTTTTTATGATCTGAATGTGTTCCAGATGCTGAACATTCACAGATAACATTCAGCACAATGCAGACGTAGTGTACTTTCTTGGCAAAAGATTTCCCTGTGGATTGAATCTTTCTAAAGCTGTTGAACAATCACGCAGGATGATGAAAAAGCATTCCAGCCTCATCACTCATTGAATCTCAACATTGAATGAGTCTGCGTCCTGATTCTGAATAACTTAAAAGTGACTATTTATGAAGTGGCAAACCAGAAGCACATTAGTCATATTTAATTCTGCAAATAAGAACACACCAATGGAGTGTCAACAGACGTTTTTTGTTGCAATATAATGTAAGTCCACAAACAGCTCCCCCACACCATTCACATTCTTCAAAACTACTTGGTGCATCCTGGACACAGTTCTGATCTCGACATATCCAAATACCACTGTTTAGTCTACTTCAAGATGCCTTAGAAGTCCATAGATCTATAGTAGAAGTATTTTTCTTCGCTTTTTAGTACTGTTATTCACTGACATACCATCATATATGTGTTTAATGATAATTCACTTTCCTCAGGTTACAAACATCTATTGTATATTTAGCACAATGGGAAATTGTTAGAAGAAAATTATACAACATGCAGGAAAAACAAATACAGATATCATATATTTTTACTGCTTGTCTACAATTTTTAAAACACAATAAGCTACATGAATAACATCTATAACAATCACGTGGTACTCCTGTCATTCAACAATTACAAACAATTTATATTCCATGTTTGTTTATATTTTCAATAGTAAATATACCCCAACTTTTTAACATATATGCAAAATATTCCATGTTTAGTTACAAATATTCTTCATTCATTAAAATCTTTAATAAATAAATCTCAGGCATGAAACCTATGAAATTAAATGGCACTGAATAGGATTTGAGCCTTTATGATCCAACAATGAGCTGCGAGAAGGGAATGAATTTTTAATCCACATATCAATACAAGTGAAACCACAAAAACTGAAAACAGTTTCACAAATGTAATAATATTAATTCTCAAATCTTGCCTATAAATAGCTCACTACAATGTATTTTAAAGATTCCAAAACCATAACTAGAATGGAAGAAAAATTAAGAGAGAATTTTGAAACACTGAAACACAGAAATGTATAGAGTTAATCAAAATAATAACTTGAAAAATCCTTTAGTAATAAGCAAAGTTGTATTTTTGTTCAATCGCTATTATCATATCTAGAATTATAATAAATTATTACTGCAGAGGCCAAAAGTTAAAGAAGGCAGAGCGTAGCGAAGCAAAGATTTTTAATTTGGAGGAGGCAGTAATAACACTCATTACATTTCATGGTATCTTCAGCATTTTATTGGTCACCATAAAATCTCATGATTTATGCAAAAATTTACGACATTACTGTGATAGTAAAGAAATGAATTCTGCTACTACGATATGGTGGAGTGTTGCTTACAATATATTTATTTAAACAATATTTAATACCATGATTAGAGAAAAGATGGATGCTAATAATTCTCCTGAACTTAAAGATACTTAAATAAATGACATTAGATGAGGAAGTTGGTGTGTCAAATTCCAGCAATATACCCTCAGCTTCCAGTGGCGACACCTTCAGATCGTCAGTAAATATAATTACCAGTGACACATTTAATTTGGTGGAATACCAGGAAAATGATGTTAATTTACCTAATATATATTTTTTATTGCAATATTATATTACAATGAACCGTATCCCCAAAACTAATATGAGTTACTTTTACTCTGAATTGTTTGAAACTGATTTGTACAAAACAAGATTTTTTTCTTAATAAACATTTGACTGGCGATGAATAGATGGTTGTTTATTCACGTTGCTAAGGATGTTAAAACCTGTAACTAAGGTTGTTAAATTTCTTAACATACAGGTAGGTACATGTGTACTTAACAAATCTGTAGAGATGGATGTTAACAGGGATTAAAGACACATTAAATTCTTTAAATCAATTTCATCAGTAAGACAATAATTGCCCTTGAAAATATGGATCATAAAGAGAGAAATAACAAAAACAAAAACCACAATACTGAAAAACTGCAGCCTTCCTAGACTACCCTTATCTCTTTTTAACAATTCTTTCAAATCTGCTTAGTCAATTACAAACATCTATTTTCTGATATTAATTTATATCATCCACAATAAGTTTAGAACTGGAAACATTTTTGTGTTTACAAACATAATTTAACAAAACATTTTAAAATGAACAGTGTATACATTTTACATGAGCTTATAATACCTACTTGCTACAGTGCAAATTACTCCACATAAACATCTAACATTGCATATTAATGTATTTCAACTTTGTAAGTTATGAAGAGAGCTCAGGTCTCGCCTGGATCACTGAGACCAGCCAGCTCATCATCATCATCATCACCACTAATTGCTCTCCAGAATGCCATCACCACTTGTTCTGCACAAGCCTTACGTTGCTCACTGGGTAGGCCCTGCACTTGTTGTTTCATATTGTACAGCTGCTCAAAAAGGGATGAAAAACCTGCGACACTACCACTGTCACCCAATAGTTCATCTGAAATCAAACAATTTACAAGGTTCAAAATCAGGCAAGACCCGATCAATCACCAACCATGTATTACAAAGAAACTTTAGTGAATACTTAGAGAGTTACACACAAAACTTTAACACAAATAAAATTTCAGTCATGTTACATTGAGAGTTCAATACTAAATGGATATTGGCTTGAGTCAGTGGCATAGCATAGTGGGGGCGGGAGGAGTAGTCCGCCCCGGGTAGCATTTTTAGGGAGCAGCAAAATTTCGCGATAATAATAATTATAATAATAATAATAATAATAATAATAATAATAATAATAATAATAATATATTGTAAAAATTTTAACCATTTCATTTCATATTTTTGTCCCACCTACACTTCAGACCAATTGAAATGGGCACAGAATCTTTCATTACTTATTCTGTGATGATTTCTTTAAATGAATGTAAAATAATGACATCTTGCTAATTGTAGTGAATGGCAACAATGTAAGTACTGACTTGTAAGGATTACCTGTATTTTATTTTGCGCTTGGATTGTTTATGACTAATATTCAGTGAGAATGACTTCTTCTATCATATAAAGAATAGTGTTCAATATTACACAATAACACCTGCAAATTTGATTACATTTTGAATAAGTCCCTTTAGGGAAGCGCCAGTGGTCACCAGCGGAACTTTTAGCTATAACAGGAAGCAGGTCGGAGCGCTGAGGGTTATATGCACACTAGCGATGCATTAACATATTAAAGCAATAACCTGTATCAGAAGTCACAACTTCTTAGTTGTAAAATTATGCCAAGTTCAATAGTCAACCAATTATACATAGAAAACACACAAATAAGCAATAAATATTTAGTACATGCCTGCGAACAAAATTGCATAAGTAGAAAACGCTACTCCTTCAACGAAGAAAGCCTTTTTAAGATTCTCAGTTTTTGCACAAAATAATCTCATTCAATAAAATGTCACCAGAATGTTTAGAAAAGCTTTAAGAAAGAGTCCGCATCATATCCACTGCAAGGTTCAAATATACACAGATGCAGAACTCCAAATTATGATCAGTGTTTACAATAATATGAGTATTTTCGAATATAATTTCTGACGACTTGATAGCTAACAGCAGATAGATTACTGTTGTGTGCTGTTATTGCAATTTCTTTCTTTTGTTTGCTGCTGCTGCTGTTGTTATCTGATGCAAGAACAACCACTGACTCTTTTATTTAGACACAGAAGAATCGACCGTAAGACTTCACTTTACATCTACAACACTTATGTTAAACTAGTAGTGACATATTCATGCCAGACCACGGTAATATTTCAGTACATTGAACATAATTATTAGCACATCTACATATGCACCATATGGAGAGAACGAAACCATAAATTTGTTGTAGCTTGTGGTTCAAAGTTGTAGGTTTAATGTTTCTAAGATGGAAGTTTCCTCTATATCAATGATAAAAGGTATCCACTATTGATTATAATATTTAGAATGTCTTTTAAATAGCAAAGTCAATAGGGTATAGGAAAGAAATAGTAAATGAGGAGAATCTCTACGCGATTGTAATGTGCTAATATGAAGTAAACTAGATACACGAAAGTATACGAGGTATGTTATAAAGAATCTGAACTTTACTTTTTACTCTTGCAAAAACCTGATGGATTTGTGCTTGCATGAGCCTTTGTGAGCTTCAACCTTCGTGGGCATGTGTGACTTTTTTCCCACCTTTTGATTTCATTTGTTGCTGGCAAGCAGCATTTGAGTGAAATAGTGTGAAATGCTCTCGTCGGTTTTTCATTGCATGGTGAAGCATAAGTTCACATAAGTCTCACAAGACATCATGGTCTCCTTAGTGACCCCACCTTCATTAAGTTGGTTCTTGAAATTGGGGTCACTGTTAGTGGAGTCCAAGATGTCCTGTTAGATTTCAATATGAAGTTGCTTTTGCTCCGACATGCAATAAAAAAATGACGAGAGCATTCCACACTACATCACTCAAATGCTGCTTGCCAGCAACAGATGCAAACAACAGGCGAGAAAAATTCACACATGCAAATGAAGGCCGGCTCATACAAGCACACTTGACCCAAATCCATCAGGTTCTTGTAACAAAAAAGAAAAACAGAAAAGAGGGCTTTTCTAACAGACCTCATTAAGAACTAGCTACAGGAAAAAAATCTAATTTCTGTAATAAAATGCAATGATTGACTGTATCATAGGCCTCTGCAAAACTAGTCCATTTGTGACCTAGAATTCAAGTTCCAAAGAATGTTCTGGAGTCAATAAATTTTTAGTAGTCAAATGGTTATGTCTCAAACCATGACGTTCATCAATTATAATTGGATCTACTAATGGTGTGTTTTTTTGATAAATTAATCAAAAGTTTTGGGAAGTTCTGAGACTTGAAATTGGTGTATAATTTGTTGCACGAGAGACTTGTAAAAACAGGTTGGATTTGTAAATAGAAATTATGTAGCTTTTCTTCCAAATTCCCGGAATATTCCTTCTTGAATTGGTTTGAAATAGTACATGTAGCACAGGTGTATTTGCACAAGAATGTTTAAGAAAATTTGGTGGCAAACCATCAGGCCCAGGACCTTTGTTTCTCATAAGTGGTTGAATTACTGAATGTTTTTCTTTTTGAGTGATTGATATACTGTGTAAATTCAATGGGTTAACAAGGTAATTGGAAACATGTGGGACATATACTGATTCAAAAGAGTCGGCAAAGATAGTAAAAATGTCAGCATCAGAATTTGCAATTTTGTATTAATGGAATACAGTACAACAGTACTGGCAGCAAATAAGCGGCTCTGACAGTTCTCTTGTCACATGTGACTTGCTCAGAAGCAATCAGCTTGCAAGGATTTGTTTACCATCTCACAGACAGGGTTCAGCGTTGCCGCTCATCTTACTCGCATTAAATGGCAGAGGTGATAAGTTTCAGTTTTGGCAAAGGTTACGAACATGATATCAAGACATGTCATAGTTTGTGTTTTGATATTCCATTTATTTAACATGTAGGCGATACCATAAGCATTGTAATAAGAGGCAATAGTGCACCTGTCAGAGTCACCTATATGCTGCCGGTACTGTAACTAATTACATAATAATTTTCCATAATTAACTAGTATACAGAATGGTTTAATATTATAATCAACTGATATTTCAATATTACTTAGGAGGTGTAATCAACAATACACTTTTTTTTTAACATACTTTGCAAAGTGTAGAGTAATGTGTGTAATTTACAACCAGTAATATTCATGTGCAATATTTTATTTTTGATTAAGTAATTTGATTAATTTTTTAGAGAATGAAGGGGAAGAAGAAATTTTTACATAATTTCTGAGAAACATATTTCACAGTAATGTGAAATAATGATTAAAGAGATTAGTGATAGCAGTGAAATAGCGATTAGAGTGAAATAGTTATTAAAGAGTTGGATTCCTTCCATTTTAATTCAAATTAGGTGTGAATAGCTCCACAATGTAAACAAATGCAGTTTTGTTATAATTTTACTGAGATTTGTAATATTTCCAAATAAAGAATGAGAGATTCATTCAGAAAACCATTGATGTTTACAAGGGCTCATTTATGTTCCCTTGAGTATTACATCCTTCTTATTATATACATAGAAAAATGTATTAATTTTTGAGCTCCAAACCTTACAAAGAGAAGAGAGAAAAAGTAAAGAAATTTCAAAGCAAGGCAGAGAGGAAGTACTAATTTTGCTTCTTGGCAAATCCAGCACTACCTATAGAAAGAAGAATATGGGAAAGCAAAGTCTTCAGTCTAGCTTAAAACAAATGCAGGTTTTAAAAACTTACCAATCCGTTCCTCCATTGTCCTTCTTTGATCATTGTCAATAGGTTCCAAACGAATACCTTGAAGATCCTGGCCGAGTCTGGCTACTTCAACTTTATTGCTGTCTTCTACAGCACCACCATTCAACATTGACTGCACAGATTTAGACAGGCTGTGGGGTTTTCCTGTGAAAATTTACACAATATTTATAATAAAAATTAAAACAAAACAATTGAAGAAAAAACAATTAAATGGTAGTTTCATTACAAATTGAGATCCATTCAATAAATATTCTGTACATAGGTACAGACTCAAAGAACTGAGTCCAATTTCAGGTCAAAGCTCCTGCCTCCGAGTATTTTTGAAATAATAAGGAAAGATTTTAAAAAATTTGTTAGCTGGATATAAAAAAAGTATGCATGCATGGATACTCATATTTATATTTGCCTCTTTCTGGCATATTACCAGATAAAATTTCAAGCAAAAGAATCCAGGTAGAAAAGCAGTGCAAAACTTCTTTCTTCTGGAAAACTATTTCTAAAATCAATTAAATCATTGAATGACACAATGTTTTAAACACACAATAATATTCATTAATAATAAGGCATAGAAGAAAGCAATTCCAGAAACATGAAAAAGAGAAGTTAGAACATAAAAAAACTGACTGCATGCACAATCATTTTCATTCTTAAAATATGAGAATTTCTGGACAAAGGTTTGTTCGTGTTTTATTGAGGAACATTTCTTTTTTAAATTCAGTCCATAAAAAATTCTGATTTTTATCATTTGAAAAGTCAAATTGAAGTACGTTCAGTAAGTATGATCCAAAAATTACCCACCAACCCGAATTTGGGGAATTTACACCCAATTCATATAATTACCCGTACCTGTAAAGGTAACATTAATTTTCATTGTTATTATGCCAGGTAATGAAGTAACAAATGACATATAGCAAATTTGCAAAACAAATTTGTATTTTACTGTAAGTTAAATTTATGTTTGTCTTTGTAATTGTTTGTGTGCTTGATTGAAGTTTCTGGGCACATCACCTGCCTTATTCATTAGTCCCAGTAGTGTAATTAATGATTTTTTCTCCAAGAAGAGGTGGTGACTCTTTAAGAAGAGGCAATGCCCCAGCTGGGACAAGCACTAAGCTCCATATTGGTCGTCAGATCTGAGTGGTAAAGTAATGCAGGTAAGTATATGAATGTAAAGGGAGAGAAGGGGACAGGAAAGGGAAGATCAAGTGCAGTCTGTGGTCTATTTGTCATTTCCTCTTTATACTTACTCAGAATATGCCTGATAGTGACTGGATTGAGCCTAGGTAGTTTTGGTGGTAGGTAGCTTGGTGGTTTTTTGAGGCTGGGCAAAATAAAGCCAACCTCGCTTCCGACATAAGTTTCCCTGACCATACTGAATGTTCTCACCTCTGAATATAAATTAAAAAGTGTTGAATCTTTAAAAAAGTTAACACTGTTTCATCCCTATGAATGTTTTACAAAGAGTATTCAAAGTAGATTGATGCTGAGCAACCACAGACATTCAGATAGGTCACAATTATGAAACAGCTTATGAAAGGATTTAATGTTATGATCAGTACTAGAATAATGAAAAGTGTAATTGCAATCTTGTCTATAGCTACACAAGGACAATAATGAATATTGATAGGTTCCACACAATTGCATTGAGCAAACAAAACTGGTCTTAATCTTTCCCTTAAGCATGATTTTCAGTGGAACTAATTTCATTTTTTACTGCCAAACTAAATACTGTATTTACTGTTTACTAAATAGTTAACTGTCAGAAAGAGATTCAATTTCCATATTGAACTGACTCATAAAATATTAAATAAAAATAAAAAATTATAAAACTGACACACAAAATATTTCCGCAAAAAATTAGAAACACTTATGCTTGGAGCATATTGATGTGATTTATACCACATGGATACGTACATAAAAAGAGATAGTAACCACAAAAGTATTTCTGAAACATTAAAGGATAATAAAGATTAATTAACAGTGATTTACAGAAATTAGTGTTTTATTTTAAGTTCTCTAATTAATACGTATTTGAGAGATTCAGCAACTGAAGGAAGTTATAGATCCTGCAAATAACAGCAATTTCAGTTTTTTGACATCTAGGGGATGAAATTTATATTAAAAAAATGGAAAATATGTACATATGTACTTATTTTATCAAAGATATGTATGAAAAAATTGAAAATACATAAAATAAAAAATAATAATACTGTTACAATTGACCCAAATATGCATTTTCAAATTTTTTAACACAAAATGTTGATTAGACCTTAAAATGGGTTTGGATGGTTAAATGAATGATTTACCTCAAGAGAAGCAATTGGACACTAGTCTTCACCAAACAAAACAAGTTTTATATGAAATATAAAATACATTGAATATACAATATTTACGAGAAATGGATGAACCGATTTTCTGCACATTCAGTAACGGATTGGAGGGGAGATGGGGGTTAAGGAGGTCCCTGTTAAATCCAACAATGCATTGCTAGCTTCACTGACTGAAAGGTGGGAGGGTTTGGGCCCTGTCTGAAGCAGATAATTGACATTAGCTTTATTAACTACGTTAAATTTAGGCGCTGCCTGGAAGAGAATTCAAGTAATTGACTTCTCTGATATGCTGTTTCAATGGTTTCTCCAATTAATACCAGATGATCGGCAGAACAGAACAAACGAAAAAAAAAAAAAAAAAAAAATCATAGACCACTTGCAACCTTTCATTTCTCATCCACGTCCCCGAACTCTTTAAATTCACAAACTTACAATTACATACACTATACTACCATGAAGGTCTGAAGACCAATCAGAAAATTACAGCCAATGAGGGAGATACCTAGAGAGGGATTAAATCAGCTAGCAAACTCATAGGTGAGCACCAGATCTTCAGTTTCAGTGGGGGAGGAACACCACCTTTTGAGAAAACATGTACTACACCTACAGGCTGAATTATTAAAGTTGTTGGTGGACCATAACCAATATATTTTCACTCACTCAACACTGACAATAATTGAACTCAATTTATTGCAAAACAAAAAAATACATGCCATTTATCACCTTACGCATGACTTTCTAAAGTAGTACAGTAATATCTAGGCCAGAATCGATCAGGACAAAAATATATTCCGGTTTGGAGAGGTTTCGGTTTTTTGCAGGATTGTCTATTTTATGACACTATTATATTGATATATCAATCCAGAAACTAGTAAAGAACATTAGTTTATTGTAATTATAAAAATATATAAACATATAACGTATTTATGGTAGAAATTATCAATAATTGATATTTAACATATTTCTGACAATTGAAAGGTAAATCTTCACACTAAAATAATAGTATTTTTTCCAACATTCAACTAGAGTTTTTGCTTCTCTTTCCTACTTACTATCACTGTTTCTATTATGATTTCAGAAGTTGAAAAACTTTAATATTTAGTTTTATGTTTTTTCAAACCATTGAAAATCTGGTTGTGAAACATAAAAATACACCACCTCATTCTCCGGTGGATGCAGCCGGACTGCTTGAGGAAAATAGGCAAACAGCAGCCGGTGGCTAAAATTCTCCTCCAGACAAGGAGAGGATTCGACCTACCTACTGAGTAATTTGAATATAAGTTAAGCAAAAATTTTAAAACTAAATAAATCAAAACATTTTAAGTAACAAGGTTAAAGTAGGGCACACGGTACACCCTTAGAGCAGTGGGGCTACGGGAGAGGGAGATGGGGAAGGGGAGGAGAATTCTCCTTATACCTTCCCTCAATTTACACTAAGCACTGATAAAAATGAATCAAACGAATCAATTGGTGATTTTTAAGGCTTATAAAGTTTGGAGGCATCCTCATTGAACAACAAAAACCTCACAGTTGGGTTTTTGCCCTAGAAGGTGTCTGCAAACATATTCTGACGGTAGCTGTCGAACTGGCCAGCTGCGCAGCATCGACGCTGACTACACTTCATTGCACTCCATGTTCCTTCAATTAAAAATTTGTGTGGAAACCAGTTTCCGGGTCTCTAAAACACAGAGCGGTTTACAGTGAAATGCTGAAAACCCTCATCTTCTAAGCAGTTATAAGACTTCTAACAGTCTGACAACATGATGGACCCTTGCTTGATGAAAGACTTAATAACACCCAGAAGCTCCTCTCTGATGCATGTTTTAACGACCTAGAAAAAGGCAGGTGATGTCTTTCATTCAACTCCTCCCCTCCCTTGTTTACGTTCAGTTCATTTATTATAAATTCACACAGTACTTTCATTACCCAAAGATAGGCCATTACTATTACCTGAATCATGCTCAACTTCTTTACCGCAAACCATGACCCCTTCCGCACAGAACACCTTCCCACACAAGGAGTGGCCCCTTCTTGCTACACATCCACTCAAAACCATCACACAACTCCTTTCACTTGGTCAACCTCATCAGACACACAGAACACTTAAATCCTGCAGCAATAAAACCACGTTCTTGCTCCCATTCAATGACAGCCAAACACCCCCTTCGGTGCAAAGTGTATAAAAAGCCATATTTATTCTCACCATTGTAGCACAGACACTCAACATTCAATCAAAACAAATATCACAAAGAATCTGAATAATGCAAGAAACTTAACTGTACAACAGCAACGCAACACCACAATTTAGCCACCTCCACACATACTATTTTGTAATGAAACTTCGACAAGATACTTCAGTGAAACTGTCCTCCTCCCTAACTTTTAATGTCACATTCATGACCAATTATGGATCATTAAAATTGTTTCAGAAGTGCAATTTTTACAATTTATTTAAATCGCTCACGCTTTGCTTTTTGTATGTATGTACTAAGTTATTCATGTAGCTCACCACCACTCCACATTGAAGAGTTCCGTCGCCGGAGCGGCACGAGGTGCCGGTTTAAACGACTTTTTTAATTTGTACAGTATACTACACTTCAGTCAGTAATGACAAATATATTTGTATCCTTATATTCAAAAACAACATCTTACCCTTCATGTGAAGATTTGGCCAAAGGTGAGCATGCATAGCCTGAACAACTCGTTTTATTCCTGTCGTTTCAATGAAATCTTGTTCTTCCTCCCACTCAGGGTCTAATTCTGGATTTAGTTCCACCAATTCAAAGCCTTGCTCAACACACCATTCTTGAGCTAAAACAAAAAAAGTGAAGAAAAAAAAATGGAAAATATGAATGAAAACATTTCCCTAAAGAAAGAGTAGAAAGAATATCCTTATTACATGTGACATGCACATTCTGCAGAAGTTTCTTCTGAAGCACATATTTGACGGAAAGTAGAGGAGATACAACTTGGCACAGACTTTTTTTTAATATGAGAAAGAATGTTTTAATTGTACTGAACGATATTCCTAATATTTTAACTATCTCTATCCCATGTTCAAGAATCCTATCTACCTGAAGCACAGAATAAAATTCAGGTTCTGAAACTCATTTCTTGAGAAAAAATTGACCTTTACTGTACATATTGCCAATAATTTAAGTTTGCTTAATTATGAAATTTTGATTGAATAAACCATATTTAGAGGTAAGAATGTCCAATATCTTTTCCGGCTTTTATATATTTTTTTTATTTTTGATATCAATTTAAAAAAATTATGTGACCAGACCAGTGGAATTACCACTTGAGAGGTAAGTATTAGCTTATATGTATGAATTAAAATCAATAGTGGCTCGAAGTTACGAGTAACTGTAAATTAGTGCACCATCATACCCCTATTTCTGACCGAGGACATTCTCATTGGGTCCTTTATGATGATTGTCATTAATTTTGTGAAATTGAATATAACAAGAAAGTAAAAAAGATATAGTGAGAAAAGACCCAAAAATTTCTCTAGGTTATGGGGGACAGAACAAATCTTTTGGGAAACAGGTTTAATTCTTGTAAGAGCAACGCTGGTTTTCCTGAGGCTAAAGTGTCTGGTGCAAGGGGCAGTTTGAAGGTTCAAAAAGAATTTGAACAACAGTAAGGAAATGTAATTTGTAATTGGTTCTATCATCTACTTGTCTATTCGTTATATACCACGGGGCATTGATAATTATATGAAGCATTTTATTTTGAAAGGTTTGTAAGGGTTTCATAACAGAAGAAGCCGCACCTCCCCAGATTCAGGGCTGTGTGTTATTGAGGGTCATAAGACTGATTGGTCAAAAGCATTGTTGGTGATGTGAAATAGTTGAAATAGTTTTCAGGGCTCTTTGAAAGTGAGCCGATATGGATCGCCATTGACTTATCTCATTTCTTGACATTAAATAGAAACCATAATAACACTGTAGAAATTCATTAGAATATCCACAAATCATCACAAATTTGATTTAACAAGGTTTCTATATTATTTTTATTGCAGATGTTAATAAAACAGTTGTGTGCAGAGAAAGAGAAAGCAAAAGAAAAATATGTCTGAGCCAAAAACACATTAAAGTTATTAAGGCTCAGTTGTATTCCAATCATCATAATAAATTATATCAGAGACAAATGTTAATCTTACCTTTAACACGACTTACACCTACTTTTGGATTTTCATAACATCGGTCACAAAGAAGAATTTGTACTTCTGGTTCAAATTCCCTCAGAAAAGCTAACCAACTTTCAACCACATTAAGACCATCATTCTGCAACATTTAAAATATGCTTTAATAAAAGTTTGAAATGTGTTCTAAATGGACATTGTTTAAATTGCAGCAATATGAATATTACAAGGAGTTACTTTGCATACAGAGTGCCTCACTGTCACTGTTGTCATTAAGTATGAGTATCTTTTATGAACGGGTTATACTCCATTGAAATAAGTTTGAAAATAAAACCTACATTCTCCCAGATAAAAAGGTTGCAGAAGTGTGGGAGTTAAAAATGTTGCCCAGTTAAAAAAGCATGATAATTGTGGGAATCACCCCTCAGAAAGAGTGAGAAGGGGATGTTGGTAAAATTAAGAAAAATATTTTTGATGAAATAAATTGATGACTTTTAAAATTAATCGCAAATTATTTGAAGATAAACTTTCATATTGCCAAATGAGCTAGATTTTGACAATGCAAAAAAAAAAAAAAAACAATAAAAATAAAATCAGATTTAAATTTACATTCAATACAGAAATACATACCACTGCATACTGGCACTAACTTACGCGTCTAAATTTGATCAAATGTATCTTGATTCCCATTTTTTAAATGAGGCCTTATTATGATTTCAATACTTTTACATTCCATTTTTTCTAAAAGATAATATTAAACTTTCTGCTGATATTGCAAAAGCGGCCATGGATACTCAAATATGAAATTATGAGAATATTTTTAAATAAAAGATGCATTGACCATTGTATTATGAAAACAAGAAAATAACGTCACAGAATTGTACAGATTGCAAATAAAATTTTATCAAACTCATAATACAGCTCTGTATTAATAAACATCATACACTTTTGAATAGCATTAATATCTAGAATATGGATATTTTTAAACACTAGTAGAAATGCAGGGGATTTAAGAGGACTGTTACACACAGACATTCCTATTGATAGATGCATCTTTAAAAAACTCTCTCTCCAATGCAATTACAACTTCTTAATGGACATCCTGAAACTAAAAACTGTTCTGTAGTCACAACATATGAGTGTAACTTTTATCAATGAGTTGTACTCCATTGAAACTTCCTGGAATTTGACTCAATAGTGGTTACTATTTTAAACTAATGTGTTGCTTTATTCCTACTAAATTATTTATCTTCACAAGAACAGTCAAACAGTATTTTTTGCAGTTACATTTAGAAGGGCCTGTCAGTGACATTTTATGAAACAAAAGTTACATCTTAAAATTGTAGATCGAGAATGAAAACAATACAGGTCAATGATATCTCACTACATCAGTCTGGAAAGTTAACAACTTTGCACAGAATGTACAGTATGAACTTTGTTCTTTGAATGGAGGAAAAAACATGCTCAAGAGTATAGTAACATGCTATTCATTTAATGTAAAATCCTACAATTTTTTTCCTTCTAATTAGCAGGCATTTCTCAATTGCAAATTGTTTTATCCCTGGGCATGTCTTTTATTGGAATGTTTCGCTATAACAGGCTTTGTACGGATGCTTACTCTATTACTGTCAAAGTTTATTACAACTGCTTCCACAGATATGGCAAATTGTTCACTTCCAATAGTTTTCTTCTCAACTGCACACAAATTAACATCAGCTGTGTAATACTTTGTATCTATGTGCCAAGGGTATGCTTTGATTCCATCTTCAACAGTGGTAGCTTCTGGCAAATCATCAACTCCCAATATTACTGAAATTTCAGAAATAAGTACAGCAAAATTAAACTACAAGTAGAAATAGTGATACCAAGGTCTCTATTATAAATTTTCATTCTTACATTTGACAATTTCTTCAGGATGCGTGTCAGTGCAACTAGCTACAACAGCACAAGGTTTTGGATCCATGTTTCCCAATGTTTAATGTAATGTTGTTCAAATCTCAACACAATTTGACACCTTTAACCACTGCAATAAGTATATAAGATTGACACATCTCCTTACACAACTACAATATTATGAAATGTCAAAAGGTTCCGGGTTACCAAAAACTGAAGTTTACGCACCTACTGGTATTACTGTAGTGATGTACTATTCTGAGACTCGTACTCTCCCACTCGAAATGCATCCAAGTTACAACTGATTAATCGCAAACACACACCCGTCCATGTACCAGCAACTTGCGTTAAAACTCTTAATATATCAGAAACCAAGTCTTCTTGCACTTGTATATAAACTTTGTCATTTCTGTCAGATGCGGTCAGCTGTCAGCAGAAACAAAATCACGAAATAAATAGTTCACTGATTAACAATTTTCCCAACTGAAGCCAAGCGCAGTAAAGACGAGGTGTCACGGAATATATTGTTGGGTTGGTATATGTGTATCTGTCATAAACATGGATTCTAACGCGCGTCATACAAACTAAAGAACACGTCATAAATTACAACACTTAAGCAGACATTTAACCCATTTAAAAGATATACTCGTCTTCAAGTTTCAAATAGAGAAATATAATTTGTTTCTGAAATATTAAATGGGCATTGCAAATTCATTTTCGACTGTTTTATTTTAGTATGTAGTAGTAAATACATTATATGCGTCATAAAAATGTTACAAACTTCTGCGTAGGTAGGCTATGTACGAGGGAGTATGAACATTTCCCATTGCAAATACACTCAGAATCAATGAATAGAATGTAACATATGCGAAACAAATAAGAAACTACTGAATAGCACAAGATTTCTCGAGTTAGTTACTTTTCTAATTTCTGTGGTCTATGCAAACTTTTTGGACTTGCCACATACTCTGGTAGATAACATCTATCGCCATCCTTAATACATTTTAATTTCTCGCACTTATTAACGTAAAAAGAGAAAGAATTGTAATCGTGTGCCGGAAAAGAGGGGAATTTTCGACAAAAAATAACAAAAACTTATTGCCGGGCCCTGGTAAAGAAAAAGTGGATAAATTCAGTTGCTAAACACAGAAAAAAAATCATCTAACACGTGGTGTATCTAAAACCAATGTTTTGTGCGTCCTTCATACTGAACTAGTCGTGCTACAGAATGGCACAGACTTCCCCGTATTTGTTTCCTATTTCCTTTAGTCTCGGTTAACTATACGAACTTGCCACGTACTCTTGCCAGCTGCCATTTATCTCCGACGAAAGTATTTTTTTTTTTAATAGTCTTATTTTGTTGGTTTCCTAATAGTAATACGGAAATATTATTTCAAGAATATTAAATAACAGTAAAACCGCGTCCTAAATGACAATTTTCTTTGAAAACTTTGGAGCCATTTTTAAGATAATTGCGCTTAAGCGCTACTGTAAATTCAAAATTTGAAACTCTATTTCATAGAGAATTTTTGAGTTTTAGAAAAACTTCATTAGAAGTCATTTGAAGCACATTAACACACAAATACAGTAGCATTTACAAATTGCACAAAATTGCATATTAACGGCGTGAGATGTTTTCAAAAAAAATTCCAGGGTAATTTTTGAAAAACAAAAACAAAAAATCAAAATTAACTTTACGCGATATTAAAGAGTGTAATTAGTACTATCCATTTTTTTCCAAAGTTTGAAAAAACAATTTGGAGCTGTTTTTGAGAAAATGGCCTTTAAGCATTTCTGAAAATGCGGAATTTTGAACTTGTTTTCACAGAAAACGGTTGAAAGTTCGAGAAATTTTATATGGCATTATTTAAAGCACATGTACTCATAAATACAATAATATGAACAAATTGTTGCTAGTATAATGATAAAACGACGTATGAGACAAGAAAAGAAAAATACATTTTTGAATAAAAAAGAAAACAGAGCATTTTGGCGTTTATATCATCATATAGAGTACAGTTTGCATAATCCCTGCCAAAAGGTTTAGAGACAATATTTTGGAGCTGTTTTTGAGTAAATTTTGTTGTTTTTTAAAATTTTTTTAAAGTTGCACATATTGTTCGCAATATTGTGCGAAAACTACTAAAATTTTCCAACCATGATATGAGAAAAATCACTATGGAGAAAAAAAATGATTTGAAGAAAAAATCTATATCTTAAATTTTGTAAATGTAGGAAGGCATCCGAAAAATTTTGAAATTCCTAAATTTTCGAAAATTCAGAGTTATCACAGTCTGCTCCGCAAAATCGGCCCACTTGATTTAACCTTGTATTTTACTATATTCTTACAAGAAATTTAAAGAAAAAAATTGTAGCCGTTTTTGAGAAAATTGTTTGTAAAATGGGTTTTGTGTATCGATTAATATGTTTGCTTAAAGCTTTGTATACAAGTTTACAGGAGATTAGTTTATGTATGTGAATTTATAATACATTACCCATTCCTGATACTACTCTTAAATTCTATTGTACATATTCTTTAAATTATGATTCATTGAGGTTCTTTGTAGTTGAAGCTATTGTCTTGCCTCATTTTCTTTAGTATTACAACAAATATAATTGTGACTACATTAATTCCGATAATTGATTATTCTAAACTCGTTGCACAATATGATGACATCACGATCCATTGCAGAAGCATTCTATACAGGAGGCCATGGTAGAGCGCGCATTCCAAATTGAGTTGACGCTTTCGTAGCAGTAATATGAAGCCCGGTTTTTACACTTCGGAAACGGGTGTTCACAATATGTATTATAACAGAAATTATAATTTTACGAATTTGTTGCATATGTAGTTTACATTCATGTCAAAAGAGTGTATTTTGCCATCAATGTGAGACCAATACCAAAATATATACATGTGGTTGTATTTATTCTCGACTGAAAATCATCTAATCGTGTTTCCAGAAAAAAATGGAATGTAGGCCAGACCGGTTGTTAAAACGAGATATTTAATCGAGATTTTCAAGGATGACGCGCACGCGTAGAGGCCATAACGAATATATTAGATTAGTCAAATCTGTTCTCACAGGTTCTCTGATGCAATTCTCAAAACGAATTGCAGTTAAAATTCACACATGCACACACACACACACACACACACACACACACACACACAAACGCTTGTCCCTATTAACTAGGATAGTGGTGGGTTTCTGGCTCCCCTAAGGTTCTCACAGACCGATGCGGAACATCCGTAGCCTTTGCGGAATGGCCGCAGTGGAAATTGCTCGTCAAGTGTTGCCTTATGAGCACGTTCAGATCTGTGTGGCAGGCGAGAGTCATGGCAGCGTTTTATTACCTGCGGAAATACTCGCGTATCAGTCGCGTTTCGACCGTTGCCGCTGGAGTTTCGGAGAAGTTCGCCCACTTTCGGGAGCTTCTCTCCCCTCTGAATTGAACTCCTTCTGCTTATGTTTATCGGATGAGAAAAACAGTGAGCAAATGCTGAGTCGTAATTGACCCTCCGGTGTGAACGGTTTCGCGGACTCCGCCGCCGCGTCTAGCGCAGAACTGTCCGCACCGCACCCCCTGCGTATCTCCCGCGCAAGTTAGTAAGAGCCTTTAAGCGGCCGCAGCTGATTAAAATACATTTGGAAAGCGGAAAAAATTGAGGCATAATTAATGTTTTGGGAGGAGAGGAAGAAAGTCGGTGTCTTAAAATACAAGTACTACTTCCTTTTCGTTAAAGCAAATTCGAGAGCACCATCCCCTCTGCGGCATCATCGACTGGGAGACCTTAGGGTTTGAGTCCTGGTGGTGGTGGGTTTTCGACATTAGCACAACCACTGCCTGGAGGAGAAATTCTGCGGCTGGCTGCTCTGATCAATAATTGTTTGTTTTTTGTTTTTGTTTTTTGAGTTTTCGTATATCACTCATATCAATACCAGGCGAACGTGGGTGCGGTACCTTCATAAACTGTCTGCAGACCACGCTCGACCATTCTTTCATCATCCTCATCTCCCATCACCCCCACACTTACATGCACTACACTATCACCCACGTCGGAAGAGCAGTTGAAATATTCAGCATGTTTTGGCTGAGGTTGTGCTTCGCTAAGGGAGGTTCCTGGAGACGAAAAACCCGCAAGTCGAGTGTAGGTCGAGGCCAGAACACACGTTCCAGCTCAAGAGGAAGAAAACCGACACCTTTTCACAGTTCACCAATACACCAATTCAATATGATTACCAGAATAATGATCTAAGTAATTGAAGAGCCCGGAATAAAAACTGACACACTCACTATTCCCTTTTATGCACTTACTGGCAGTCACGAGTAACATTCGCTTTGGGCTATTTTGGCTCACATGACAAATTAACGACGACGTCATTACCCAGTCCAAAGGCTTGTCTTCGTCGCGGGGCCGGCCAGAGAGTAGGGGAGAGTAGGGAGAGCGGGGCCGGCTGTCACCGCGTGCGTCTGCGGTCTGGACAGCCTCGAGCGGCAGCCGCATCGCAGCTGAGGGAAGTCGACCTAACGCGGACGAAGGTGCACGTGGGCTCAGTCCAGCCCGGGAGGCCTCCGAAGACGCAAGCCTCTGTAAGGTATGGAGACACATATGTTGGTTGGTGTTGATGTCGATAGTGAAAAAGTGAGATTGTATTGATTCCGGCCGCGTCTACTGTTTAGATCAGTAGTTCCGTAAATGTAGGCATTTTTTGTCGCTGGATGTGTGTTCTTTCTCAGGTGAAACATGAAATCCGGCGCCGGCCTTCACCATTTGCATTTGCTGTGCTTTTCTGCTCCAGGTGTCTCCCTCAAGGGGGGGGGGAGGCAGCCGGAATAACCTGTAAGCTTCCGACTTGTCTCCCGACAAGGTGTGTAGTGCGTGAAGTGTGAGTGAGCGTGAATGGAGGGAGGGTCCATGGCCCGCTTATAAGGTTTCACTGTGACATTCGCCTGGTATTGATCAGAGATATAACGGAGAACCTCCGATCAGAACAGTCGGCCGTTAGAACTCTCCTTTAGACATGTGTGTGAATTCGATTCAGTTATGTAGATGGTGTCGAAAATCTGCCACAATCGAGACTTGGATTCTATTCGGTCAACTCGGTCAACGATACTCCAGAGCCAACCGCGGAACTATCGCAGCTGGTGCTAGTAATGATGGCTATAATTGGAAATGGGGAAATTCAAAACTTCGAATATGTTGTATCTTTTTCAAGGTTCGAGATATATTGACTCGTCTCCTCTCAGTGTTTTGTCGTAAGAATCACTCAAACCTTTTTGTGCACACCCTTCTAAAGTTGCATTTTATGGATTGTATATTGCCGCAAAATTCACGTTTTAGATAGCCTCTTGTTCAAGAGGTTCTTCAAAGGCAGGGATAGCGTGCAATACTTCAAATTTTAGCTCCTGTGCTAAAAGTGAGACGGTGCTGAAGTGTTCAAAACACTTTTACTAAGCTTTGTGCACTTCGTCTCTGATAACAATGCGAGCTCGTGGCGTCGCTGCGATGGAAATG